GTACATTTCTTGCTCCCGAGTTCCCCATGGGATCACGCTGAGGCTAAAAGTCTGTAAACATCTCTGTCTAGCTTCATCCCCTGCCTATCTAGCTTTTCTCCGAGAGTACTCCCACTTTAAATCATTTGCACACAATTTCCATCTCAGGCTGTGCTTCTTGGTAGAACAGAGGCTTTGGAATCATAGCACTTCTTTAAAAATTAAACACTGGAAGAGCAAATTCAATTTAATTCAACAAACATTTGCAGAGGATGTTCTAAAAGGCTGAATTTCTTCATTAGACTAGAAGCTTTCTGAGGCCAGGGCTGAGGTCTAATTGCCTTTTCTCCCCAGCAGCTAGCCTTGTGCCACACTCAACATATTATAACAGAATATATATATTCTCTTATGGAGGCACTATGATGAGCAAGATGTGGCCCCAACAAAAATTAAGTTTACAATTTTAGTGGGAAACAAATATGCCCCAACTCATTATAAAACAGGTTTGAATGTAGAAAGCACATAAAACCCAAATGCAAAGTCTTATGGGGCATGGAGGAGCAAAAGAAAAATTTCAATAGAAAGTAAGGTACAGATTGGGGAATGAAGCTGAATGAAAGATGCAAATGATTTTAATAGAAGAGAAAATAATTATTGCTAGCAACTATCAAGAAGTACCACCTAGGGGCTACACCTTGTGCTAGTTCTTTACATGTATTATTTTATTTTATGTTTACAGAGTATCTATGGTGTAGAAATTATTTTTAGCTGTGTTTTACCAAGGAGGTTTTGAGACATGAAGTAATGTCTAAGCCCACCCAGCTAAGAAGTAATGGAGCCTAGATTTAAGCCCCTTCCCTTAGGGAAAGATATTGCAAGAAGAGGGAATATGAAATATAGATAAACAATCAGAAAAGCTTTCTTCCAAAATGGGCTTAAGTAGATACAATAGAAAAAAAAACCTAGAAATTGGGATAAGATTATAGGAGACTTGGAATACTATGGCTAAGAAATTAGACTTTATTCTACAAACCATGGGAGAGCATCGGAAGGAGATTTAATAGGAACGCTGAATGATAATACTTAAGAAAATGAGTTCAGAAGGAGGAGAAAAGTTGAACAAGTGCCTTAGGTTCTTCAAAGGAATGTGGCTACATCAACAAATTTAATTGTATGCATATTCTTTTCTGGTCCCTTTCTGCCTGGTTTTTACTGGATCTGGTCAAGTGGTTCCTAAATTTATAAATAATTTTGTTAGGAGCCTTGATTTCCCACAATTTTGATATTATGATACTCTCTATTTTCTGTGCTACTTTGTCTTCACCTTCTTCTAAAAATCCATATGGCATCTATTCATTTATTTTGGTAACAGTATGAAGCTCTCTTGAAAAATGGCAAGTCAGTAATGTAGTGCACCACACTAAGCAAAACATTTTACTGAGTATCTTCCCCTGATCTCCCTGGAAAGATCATTCGAAATAACCTAGCAGTTGTACCTTGTTTCTGATCTGACCTTTGCTAAAGTCTTCCAAATAGCTCTATAACTCTGGTTTTCTTTCCTCTTCCTTCTCCTTCCAGTCTTTTCATTCTAGTGTTTTCTGGCTCTTTCTGTTTTCTTCTTCATTCATTATCTAGAATCTTGGAGAAAAATACTGAAGCAGGAAGGTGAAGAAGTCTCAAAAAGTCATGAGCTTCCTCTCTATTTCTGCCTCTCTCCATTTTCCTTGCTCTTACTTATTTTGCAATAAGTACTGCAGTATTTATAACCCACCTCTTCTTTCAATTGGAGAGATTGGCATTTGGAGAGATTTGCCTTTGCGGGAGGTACAGTTTCTATTGAGCTCCATGTGACAGGGTCAAAAGCTGAAGGACACCGTGATTTTTTTTTTTTTTTTTTTTTGCTCCTTATTGAGGCTTCACCATAGATACAGTCATTTAGAACCACTATATTCTTAAATTTCTTATTTTAGAAATTAAATATTGTTAATTTAAAAGGAACTAAAAACGTCCCAAGACTTGCTTCCTGCCATAAATACCTCCAAAGGGGGCGCCTGGGTGGCTCAGTCGTTAAGCGTCTGCCTTCGGCTCAGGTCATGATGCCAGGGTCCTGGGATCGAGTCCCGCATCGGGCTCCCTGCTCCGTGGGAAGCCTGCTTCTCCCTCTCCCACTCCCCCTGCTTGTTCCTGCTCTCACTATGTCTCTCTCTGTCAAATAAATAAATAAAATCTTAAAAAAAAAAAAAAATTAAAAAAAAAAAATACCTCCAAAGGAAGTACCTGCTTCTGATTTCCATGTATGGGAAGGACTCACACTGCATCTCAGATGGTTGGAAGAGTGTCAATGACTGTGATAAGCCTTTCTGTTCTGCCAGCTGAGAAGACTTAAATTGTAATGGGGCAGCCTATTTCTGCGATGAGGAGGCCTACGGGGACATTTTTATTCATTTTCTGTGTCTTGCATTCTTTAGCCAGCCACCTGATGTTCCTGTCATGTAGTAAATCCAGAAAATTACTGTTTGCTGAAATTTCCATTTCTTCAATTTATGTAGAGGCATAAGACAGTTGTTTCCTGAGTCTGGAGTATTTCTGATTACAAGAGACAGAGTCTGCCTATGTTTGATTTCAAGTCCATCTGGTGACAATTCTAACCTACCTTTTTTTTTTTTTTTCTTCGATTTTGTCACTTAATGTATTGACCCAAATTTATGAGTCAGGACAATAAATAAAGCCACAGTTAGAGAAATGGAGTCTGATGATCCAAATGGTGTGTGTGAGGCTAGAGAAGAAAGTAGAGCCAGATCTTGGAAGAAAATGCAAATAATCTTCTTGCCTGGTACTGAATTTGCTCTTATTTATTGCCTCATGACCTTAGATCTTATTATTAATTTTGCCTTATGGATTAGAAAGAATTGTACAGACTAATTTTCTGTAAGTTTTTTGCTTTATAGCTAGTCAGCCTTAAACATGATTTTGTTTATTCAGACAATTGTCCCTTGATTGAGTTAATCTAACTCTAAGCCACATGTAGCTAGTGTTATAGCAAACCAAAATGAGCAAAACTCTCTAACTCTGGTATTTTTTTAAATTTGTAATTCCCAGAGTACATTGTTAGTGTTTTCATTTTATTATTATTAGTTTGATTTTGTTAATATTTTTGTGGCCACACACACACAATATAGGACACCCAGTTGAATTTAAATTTCAAATAAGCCATGAATAAATTTGTAAGTATGTCCCCAAAATTGCAAAGGAGATACTAATACTGGAAAATTGTTCATGTTTTACCCAAAATTCTAATTTTAGTGTTCTGTATCTTTATTTGCTAAATATAACAAGCTTATTTACTGGAAGAATTATAATTTCATGTAATTTTGTTCTTTTCAATAGGGTCATTTTAATAAATATGTACATTTAGCTCTTTTGTAAGTTTTTATACAAATAAATTAACAAGTTAGGGGAAAGTCATATTTTAAGCTGCATATTCTAGTTTGTGATTCTGATAATATAGTCAGTATGGTTAAAGGTCCTTTAGAAACATACTGCAGTTATCTACTTACCTGTCTGTGACCTCCATTAATCTGTGACATCAAAAAGAGAGGGACCATACTTCATTGTTTTGTATTATATAATGTTGGCAAATATAAGGACCTCAATGAATATTTCTCTAATAGACTGCATGATTACAAAATAGTAGGCTGGCCTCGTGGGAAGCTTACCTGGCAAGTCTGAGGAGCTCCAACCCCAGCTGGGCTAGCTCAGGTCTCCTTGAGCACCTGCTGCCAGGCTGCCACAGACACGCAGAGACCCTGCCTTCATGTGTATCACTTCATTTGTTCCAATCTCTCCAATGCCCCATGTTTTGCCTTTTTCTCCCATTTAGACCACAACAATTTTTTTAAGACAGTGTACCCAGCCAAACTGTCTAGGTTAGTTACTACTAAGAGTGGAAACATTTTAAATTGTAATTTTTTAAAAAGTGGTCATTGCTAAAAAAAAAAGAAAAAAAAGAAAAAAGTGGTCATTGCTGATATATATGAACGCCATACATTTTAATAAGTTTATTGTAATCATTGCATTTAAAAATTCTCATAATTTTTCAATTGATTCTTTTGCCACTTTTAGGCTTAGAATTATGCCATTTACAAGGTGTAATAATTTCATCTTTTTCTTTTCATCTTTTTCTTATACCTAGGCATCTAATTTTTGTTTTATGCTCTCTTGTAATTGTCAAAAACTACCTATTAAATAATAATCATAAAAAAAAATAGTAGGCTGGCACACACAAAAGTGTGTGTGTGTGTGTGTGTGTGCGCGCACATGCATGTGTGTGAGATTCAAGAGTGCCTAACGTGTAATGGATACTGACTTTGTACTAGCACTCTACTGAGAGCTCAGTGCCAAAATTTAGTTGCTGTCTTCTTTTTATAGAGAAGCCTTTCACTGGAGTGTGGTTCAAAACCAATCAAAGTCTATCTGTAAGAGTACATCAATCAGTTTATGTGTTGGCTAGATACTGCATCCTCCCTTTAGAGACTCCAGAAAGGATGAGTTAGTAGAAATTCTTCATAGAGTCCATGTTGGTTTTCTCAAACTTCTGTTACCATATCTTCATTTCTGAAAGTCAATCTGTAATATTTGGAGCCATATAGCTACAACAGTAGCTCCTGTCCTATACTCTTTTAGAATTCTTCACTCCCCCATTGAGTGTCCCCTCTCCTCGAACCTATGTAGGCCTCCACCAATAGCATCTGACTTAAGTGACAATTTGTGATTTTCTATGCAAATGCCATAAATTTCTACCTTACTCTCTTGGGACCCTTGCTCTTACAACCCTGACCCCATGCTGTTCTTAAGCCTAATCAGCCTGTGGAGAGGCCCATATGGAGATGAACTGAGGTCCCGGCACACTGCCCTGTCTGAATTCTCAGCTGACAGCCAGTTTTAACTTACCAGTCGTGTGAAGGAGTCATCATGAAACTGCATCCTCTGGCCTCCGGTTGAGCCTCCTCAGCTGATACGATGTGACAGAGAAATGGGCCCTATCCAAATTGCAGATTCATGAGCAAAACAGGTAATTGTTGATGTTTTAAGCCAATAAATTCTGCAGTAGTTTGTTATGTAGCAATAGATGACAAATAAAGATTTTGGCACCTAGAAGTAGGATGTTTGCTATAACAAAAACCTAAAACATTTGGCTTTGGCTTCAAGACCAGATAGCAGGCAGAAGCTTCAAGGGCCTTCAGCAGGTTCTTAGTGAAGCCTAAGGGCCTTGAGGAGAGAGTAAACAGAGGCATAAGTGGCCTAAAGGAGACTGATAGTGAGGGCTTTTAAGAAACTAAGGAGAATGGGGCGCCTGGGTGGCTCAGTTGGTTGGACGACTGCCTTCGGCTCAGGTCATGATCCTGGAGTCCCGGGATCGAGTCCCGCATCGGGCGCCCTGCTCGGCAAGGGGTCTGCTTCTCCCTCTGACCCTCTTCCCTCTCGTGCTCTCTGTCTCTCATTCTCTCTCTCTCAAATAAATAAATAAAATCTTAAAAAAAAAAAAAGAAACTAAGGAGAATGTTATTGGAAGTTTGACAAAAGGAAACCTGTGGTATGTAGTGGCACAAACTTTGGCAACTTGATGGCCTGTGGTGACTTAGAAAATAGGAAAGAAACTCAGTGATATACTTGAAGATTTCCAAGAAGAATACAGAAAGTAGCACCTTGGCTTCATCACACTGCCGTGATAAAATGTAAGGAAAGAGAAATTAGCTAAAGAATGAACTGTTGAATATAAACTCAAGACTTGGGGTATTTGAAGAAAAAACTCTTCCTCACCTGACCTCCCTAGTCAATAAGTTCTAAATTAAGGAGGCCTTCAGGCCCAAGATTAAATCAAGGATGGGACTATTAAATCCTTTGTTAAGACCTCAGAAATATTTTTTTTTATTATGTTATGTTAATCACCATACATCATTAGTTTTTGATGTAGCATTCCATGATTCATTGTTTGCAATATAACACCCAGTGCTCCATGCAGTACGTGCCCTCTTTAATACCCATCACCAGGCTAACCCGTCCCTCCACCCCTCTCCCCTCTAGAACCCTCAGTTTTTTTCTCAGAGTCTGTAGTCTCTCATGGTTTGTCTCCCCCTCCAATTTCGACCTCAGAGATATTTAAATATTGATAGAAATTTTCAGATAGAAAACAGGCTCCTTAAGGACCTTTCAAATAGAAAATAGGCTCCTTAAGGACCTCAGTGTATAATTTACAAATTCTCTTCTTTAACTAAGAAGGCTTCTAAGAATCTCAAAGATCTTGTTCCATAAGAGTCCCTCAGAGAACACTAGGTACAGAAGAAATTAACTCAAAAAGATTTACAGATTTATAGGTAGGACCTTACTCATATGGGTTTTATGAATTGATACATAGGAAACCTACAATATTTTTTAAAGAATTTTATCTGCTTGGTCTGAAATGAGCAGAGACAGTATGAAATGAAGAGAAGCCTTTGTCTCTGAAATTTCTATGTGTAGGAAATAGGCAAACTGCTAACACAAGCTAGTTTTTGTAGAAAAGAAAATATGACTCATAAGGCAGAACCAAGAACCCAGAAGGTGTAGCCAGAAGGTATGAAGAATAACTACCAAAGAGCTGGACTGAGTTCCAGTCAAGGAACTGGCAACATGTACTTGGATGGACGTCCGAATTGCAAAACACCCATATCTGCAGTATGCAGATCCTATGCTGATCCTACCATTGTGTGTTGGGTATGGAAAGGGCAGATAAACTCTCTTTGATTTTCAGGTTTGGGGTTGAGAATAATAGTACTTAAAAAGCTATGCCTGAGGATGTTGGGCCTGAGGAGCTTATCCACACCTGGATCTGATTTGTTTTAGCTCATGAGATTTTGGACCTCTAGCTTAAGCCTAATGCCCTTAGATGAGACTGGGGGATTCTTTAGGGAAGACAGGTGAGTGTGGGAAAACTATAAATTGTGGCCAAATGGGAGACTGTGTCATATTGCATTTTCCAGAAATAGATACACATCTCTTGTATTATGTGTTGTTTTAGAACCTTAGCACTCCATCATTAAAAGTGGATCCTGTGGCCCCTCCCCTTGAACTGAGGCTTTTGCAATTGACTTGACCAATGAAGTACAAAGAAATTGCAACATCCAAGGATGTGTCATATAGATACCATATTTTTGTGGGATGCTTATTCATGGACATAACCACAATGCTGTGCAGGGGTCCATGGAGTCCATAGATGAAAGTAGGTTCTCTGGTGCTGACTCATGTCTTCCCAGCTGATGCTGTTTGGAGGAAAAACAAGTTTATTTCACTGAAGCCTGCTCAAATTGCAGATTCATAAGCAAAATTAAATATATATTTTATTTTTTGTTTCGTTTTAAGTCACTAAATTTGGGGTTAGTTTGTTATGCAGCAATAGAAAAATAATACACCAGATTACCATTTTGATAAAGTCTGAGTGTTTCCAAGGTCTCCATAGCGACATATTTATCAAACATCTCTTAGAAGGAGGTCTGTTTGCATTTGCAAAAATGTTATATATTCATGATTTAAATTCTTTTAATTTTTTGTATCACATGCACAATTTTTAAAAAGTCATGTAGTGCCACAAGGCTTTTAGAACAAACTAACATTTACTGCCTCTGACCCTCTCATCTCATTTATCTTCTCAATTCAATGTCTTTCATTGCTGAAATAGGGCACTTAAAAACTAATTGGTTAGCACTGTGGGCTTACAGGGCAATCAGGTAGCCCACAACCCTTTGTTTATTTTTCTCTGGGCTAGTTGGTTTAGTCAGTAGGGGAGCCTACAGTTTTGAGTCTGAAGGGCATATGTGACTGGTGTTCTCTTGGAGATGGAATCTTTTAGTAAGTACTTTCACTTTATTCTTTTGTTTTCAGTATTGAATTTAAATGGTAACCTTGTGTCTGGGCTCTTGAAACCAGAGCTTCTCTTGTTCAATAACCCTTGAGCAGTGGTTTTCAAACATCATCATATATCAAAATCACCTGGAAGGCTAGCTAAGCCACAGATAACTGAACCTCACCTCCATAGCTTCTGATTCAGTAGGTCTGGAGTGAGGCTGGAGAATATGCACTCCTCATAGGTTCCCAGATCTGAGGCCTGGAGACCACAGTTTGAGAAACATTGCCCTAGAGCATAATCCTTTGGTTGCATGGAGGTAAGTGAGACGTCTCTAACTACACAGCATGGTGGGTCTAACCTATAATGCTTTTAGATAATCCTTCTGTTTCACCATCTCAAACTTGACTCCTGATCTCAGTAATACATGTGGCCTCTAATTCCTGAGAATTTCTGGGATTCTTTAGGGGAAATAAGCAAAGTTCTACTTTGGCTTAGCCTCCTCTCCCTCTTTCTAGCCTCCTGTAGGATTATTGGCATGATTGGCTTTTTCTCCATTAGATAATTTGTCATTTCTCCTCTCTCCCATCTACACTTTCCATCTTTAAATTCTTAGGATAGGATTACTAATGACCTTATTTTCAGGGATGGCAAAGTCTGAGTGTCTTTTCTTTCTCTTCTTGCTATTTTGGTGTGTTATTTTGAAGGGAATAAGCAAAAGAAACTTTTTACATTATTTTGGTGGAGTGTTATTTTGAGTACAATATTGAGAAGAAGCATTCTTGTCATCATTTTGAAACAGATGAGTACATCCATGATATTTTGACTCTTGCTAGTTTTAGTTTTAGAGGGCATTTTTGTAAGAACTAGATATTGTTGGGGGTAACATCATTTGCGAATGGGAAATCCATGGTATATAGTAACTTTTGGTTAATCAAAATAGCCAATTGACTTGAACAAAATAATTACAGTTGCCTGAGAACTAGTTTGTATTTAAGATGCACTTAGACTTTGCACTGAAAATTATAGCTAAAATGTGATTTTTTTTTTTTTTTTTTTTTTTGCCCTTCTGTTTTCTCACATCAATTTTTATCTTCTATTTCCAGAATGTTTATTTGGTTAGTTCCCATTAATTCCAAATTTCAAAATGTGAAGTGCAATCTTAAATATCTAGAGCTGTGCTATCTAATGTAGTTGCCACTAACAATATGACTATGTAATTTTAAATTGATTAAAATTAAAATTTAGTTCTTCAGTCATATTAGCTTCAGTTTTGTTTGTGACATGGCTGGTGGCTACTGTAATAAACAGCTCAGATATGGAGCATTTCCATCATCACAGAAAGTTCTTTTGGATGGCACAAATTAAAGCCTCCTTTATTTACAGAAGGTGGGGGAGAAAGGAAAAGAAAGAATGACTTTGATTTTGAATGAAAACACTCTTCTGTCTGTCTTACACATTTTACTCAGGAACTTTTGTTTGAAAATATCAGTGTCTTCAGTATCTGTCCAAACAGTCAAATACCACATTTTTGGCTTGATAGTGGTAATGTGGAAGATGGAAATGATTTACTCCAAAGTGCTGGGTGGGTTTGTGTTAAATCATTCACATGTTGTTAAGGTGGAGATACACTCCTGGGACTGGAGGCTCACCTCCCACCCCAGCCCACCCCACCCATTTCCCTACCTGGTTAGTGTCAGGAGGAGATGTGTTGAAAGGCTGAGCCTCTGTAGGTGTGCCTTGTCAACTGGGACTCCAGCTCCGTTTCTCAGATCAGCACAGTGTGTGGCTTATGTACAAAGTGCCTGCTTTCAGTTGGGAAGTGTGTACATCAAGGCTAAATGGCTGGTTCCAAGGCAGAGCAACACATTCATGGATCCTTGCTATATGTTTGTTGACCTTTGGATCCCAATTTAATTGTTTATTGATCAAATAAACATTAGAGGCTATTTATTGGGTCCCAATGGGGAGCTGTTATCCCAGACAAAGAATGATAAATATGTTTGTATTTCTGTGACTAATTTTTTTTTTTTAAAGATTTTATTTATTTATTTGAGAGAGAATGAGATAGAGAGAGAGAGCATGAGAGGCGCCCCTCTGTGACTAATTTTTAAAATGTTTTTTAAAAAGTATACTTAATGGGTGCCTGGGTGGCTCAGTTGGTTAAGCGACTGCCTTCGGCTCAGTCATGATCCTGGAGTCCCGGGATCGAGTCCCGCATCGGGCTCCCTGCTCAGTGAGGAGCCTGCTTCTCCCTCTGACCCTCCCCCCTCTCATGCTCTCTCTCTCTATCTCATTCTCTCTCAAATAAATAAATAAAATCTTTAAAAAAAAAGTATACTTAATCCTGCCAATGCAGTTGAAACATTTCTAATAATTATTTGCTCAATAAAAAAATATGTACATAAAACCAAAATTGCCTTATTGAAATATCACACAAAAAAAATTCTTTGGAAATCACTAGGGGGAAACCAGAAAAGAGAGAGAGATAATAGAAATGTTGATTTAGGTGTCAGATATGTAATCAACTATATTAATTATTTTATAAATTATATTAATGACATTTCGTTGTCAGATATTTAAATTTTTTCTTTCCAGTTGCTTAGAAAAATGATCTTAGAACATGTTTTTAAAATAACTGTAGCTTTTTTTTTTAACCATAGAAAACAGCCTGAATGCCCAAATTGTATTCCTTACTAATGAGTTTGTTGGAAAACTGTTGATATTTACCTGGACTTGTGAATGCCTGCTCTTAACCTAAGGCAAGGTTAGGTGTTAACCATGATGGGTCATTGTTTGAACCGGTAGAAAGGCTTTCCTAATGGATATCTCTAAGAAGGTATATCTTTTTCCTTCCCTCCCCCTACCCCCATTTGCTTGTAGACACTATTTTCGGTGAGTGAGACGATCAGACTGCTTAGATTTAGGGTAAAAACAAACAAGCTAGTAAGACCCATTCAAAATCAATTTGGAATGTTACAATTATAGACGCAGGTAAGCTACAAATCAGCAAGCTAAGTATCACGGCAGAATTACCTCTATATCTCAGTGAGGATGTATTCTGTCTTCTGTTTATAGAGCCCTATAGTAATAGACAAATAACAACAAAAAAGTATAATGGTAATGATCATTATTGAATACTTGATTGATATGTACTAGACACAGTGTCAGATATTATATATAATGTATTGTCCTTACAACTGTCAGTAATTCTGGAGAACAAAAATTGTTATTCCTATTTTACAGGAAAGAAAATTGAAATTTATTTTTAGCACCTTGCCCAATGTCTCAGCTAGAAAGTAATGATGTCCAGGACTCAAACTTGTCTGATTCTATAACCCACTTTCTTAATCATTGTGCCAGGCATTCAATACAACTAGTGGAATAGAATTTAGGGGTGTTAGGATTATGGTTCCTGAAATACTGTGTGGGTTAGAAGTTAAATGGGTTTTAACAATATTATTTTTAAGTTTCCAAGAAAAACAAATTTTCTAGGAAATACAGTATATCTCTGATGTAGTCCAAGCACCTATTGTGAATGTTCAATGAGTACTTATTAAATTAATTAAATGTTTAGGGTCATTGTATAACTGTTATAACTTGGGGTATCCTGGGAGGTCTTTAGGCTGATGTATGAATATTTTCACTTGCATGAGACACATAGCCTGGTGAATGTAATTACTGTATAACTCAGAATTTCTCTGTGATATATATATATATATATATATATATATATATATATATATAATCTTCACTCATTGTATTAGCTATAAATTGGTGATTTTAGAAGTTTTCTGGAAGGCAGTGTGTATTGCATTAGAAGACCATTCTATCTCGGGCGCCTGGGTGGCTCAGTTGGTTAAATGACTGCCTTCGGCTCAGGTCATGATCCTGGAGTCCCTGGATCGAGTCCCGCATCGGGCTCCCTGCTCGGCAGGGAGTCTGCTTCTCCCTCTGACCCTCCCCCCTCTCATGTACTCGCTCTCTCTCATTCTCTCTCTCTCAAATAAATAAATAAAATCTTAAAAAAAAAAAAAAGACGACCATTCTATCTCTAATTAGTAGAGACTACTAAATCTAGGGATTGATATCGTTGAATAAAAGCAAATCCATTGGTATGAGTCTATAGTAGCTATTTCCAATATCCTTATTGCCTCAGGATGGCCCTCAGTTAAACTGTACATATTAGAATCTTTTGAATCAAGATCATGTGTCTCTATGATTAGTTAAAAACTCTTAAACCACTGAAATATTTTAACTGTTATTTTGGATAGTACCTTTCCTTTTGCTGCTTTAACCATTTACCATCATCTTAGTGGCTTAAAAGAACATAAATTTATTATTTCAAGTTCTGGAGATCAGAAGTCCAAAAATGGATCTCACTGGGTTAAATCAAGGTGTGGCAAGGCTGTGTTGATT